TGGGGAACTTTTGTACGCAAAAAATAGTGCATTGATAAAGTTTTATATTAAATGGGGTTTAAAAGACATGGAAACTACTAAATATTGTACATTAGTATTGAGCGATTAGAAGTGGCAGAGTTGGAATTCGTGTATGTGGCTTCTAAAATAAAAATATAATTTTCCCAGCGTACTAAATTGTTCTTACAGTTACTAATAAGTACTAAATATGCTGTATGGTAGAACGGGTAAGACTAGGAACCAGTTATTAAATACTTATTGCAGTAAATATTTCTATATGTAGTAAAACTAAAACAAATCGTATACTGGTAAGGGTAAGATAGAATTCTGAAATGTTCTATGAAAATAAAGCTTTTCCCATTTTGTTTTGTAATAATATCTTTGTTTTAAAATATTTTTCTAATATTTGTACTAAAAATTGAAAAATATCAGTCGGTGTTGCCGACAGATATATACCCTCAGCATGTTTAGTGCGGAGATCATCGGAGTTACACACCGGTTTTATTTTTAGCTTTATATAAGGTATATGTTTTTATCAAAGGGGTTTATATAATGTTATTGAAATCGTTCATTCTATTCGCTAAAATTTACAAGTTTGTATAATATTGACCTTTTGGGGGAGGGACCAAAGGAAAGCGAAGGCTTGGTAAAGATAATAATTTAAGTAAAGTTTGATTCAAATCGGACATTCCATTCGCCTGATATTGGATTTATAAATATTGAATATTTTGACAATTTGTAGGGGAGTAACCAGAACCAATGGGTCCCATCTTCGAACATGCTATAGACTTGGTAAAGACAAATTCGGCAACAAATGATAATATAACCGATGTTCGAAAGAAATGCTGACTAAGTGACTAATTGAAGATGTAGGACCAATTATTATTCGTTTATAGTACATACTTAGAAAGTTATAAATCCATATTAAGTTATAGTGTGTAGCTAAATTAAAGTTTATTTAGTGTAACTATAATAAGATCCGCTTACGACGTAACGGGCCTATGCTAGTATTTAAAAATTAACCGATTTGAACGAAACTTACAACATGACATTCTGGACTAATTTCAGTACGCTGTGCAAAGCTTCATCTCAATCGGATAAACATCGGGAGTTTGTTGGGCTTACAATAGAGGCCTCTACGGCCTCTAAATATCATATGATCACCACCGAAATTTGTAGGTGTCGTCCCTGAACATAACCGGAACCTCACGTATAATTACATAGCGATCCGCGTCATTTTCACCTTCTAGTCTGGTAATTTTAATATTAATCATACCATAATATGTAGACACCTGTGTTTATCTATATACAACAATATAATTGGTATCAATTTAAAGGTAAATCCCTTCTTTTGGATATACCATCAAGTTCTCAGATCTATGTCCTCCAGTTGTAAATATATAAGCCATAGAATGCAAAATTCACCATTTTCCGCACAAAAGTGTGTGTTCGCTAAATATTGATCGATCTTTATCAACACATAGCTTTGGCCTGTATCATGTTTACTAATTATAATGAACATACGGACGGACACACTTATCTAGATCGACTTAGCTTGTCAAGATATGAGATCGGTATACTTAAAGGTGGATCTAGGAACAATATTTCACGGCGTTGCAAACTCTTGGGGCTGCACAATGGTATAATATCCTGACAACATAGTTGTGTAGGGTATAATAAAAAGTTTATTTTAAATATTTTTTGTTTCCCCGTGTATGTTTATACCCTTCACCACATTGTGGTACAGAGTATTACGTCTTTGTGCATATGTTTGTAACAGGCAAAAGGGAACGAGATAGACACATGGTTCTTTTGAGAATATGCATAGAATCACTTTTTAAGTGGATTTATGCATGGCGGTCTGTCTGTCCATGTTAAATAAAATAAGAAATTTTAAGTTCAAGAATATGGATTTACAAAAATTCGAATTTGGATTTTTTTAAGAATATTTGCAGGGACTTACATTAAGCGACGATTTTTTAAATCCGCACAAGGTTTTTTGTTTGTGGTTTTTTAAAAAATATCTTTTCAGGAATCCACAAAAGACGTGGATTTGTTAAAGAATATTTTTTGGGATTTATTAAAGAATATTTTTCAGGGACCTATATAAGGCGTGGATTTTTTAAAGAATATTTTTTCAGGGACCTACATAAGGCGTGGATTTATTAAAGAAAAATTTTCAGGGACCTATATAAGGCGTGGATTTTTTTATGATCACTTATTTATGGTCACTTATTTGGCCCAAGGATGAACCCTATTGAAATTGGGAAAAATCGGTTCAGATTTAGATATAGCTCCCATATATATTTTCGTCCGATTTAATGTAAATGGTGTACCAAAGGCCCTATATATCTTTCGATTTGCACGAAATTTGCCATAGCGTAATGAAGTAGGTCTAGAATGATGTTTGTTAAGTTTCTTGAAAGTAGGTCCAGATTTAGATATAGCTCCCATATATATTTTCGTTCGATTTAATGTATATGGTGTACCAAAGTCCCTATATATCATTCGATTGGCACGAAATTTGGCATAGCGTAATGAATTTAGTCTTGAATGATGTGTGTTAATTTTCCTGAAAATCGGTCCAGATTTAGATATAACTCCCATATATACTTTCGTACGATTTAATGTAAATGATGTACCAAAGTCCCTATATGTCATTCGATTTGCACGAAATTTGGCATAGCTTAATGAATTAAGTCTAGAATGATGTGTTGTAAGTTTCCTTAAAACGGGTCCAGATATAGCTCCCATATATATTTTCGTCCGATTTAATGTAAATGTATCAATCGGCACAAAATGTTATATCTACGTACTAATGTTAGTATAACATAACTTGTGGCAAGTTTAGTTGAAATTGGTTTAGATTTCGATATATATATATAGGTCCTTTAAAAATTCGTGTCTGTCAGGATTCATCTGTAAAGTCGGCCCCGTCCGACTTTTCTACTTTCCTTTCTGGTTTCCTAATGAAGTTGGTTCATTCCATCCCTTAAATATTAACGGATCACAACCAAAAACATTATGTGTATTCTTTGCCTAGAACCGGACTTTCTTGGGCCCATAACTGTGGCCTGCATATTGTTTAAAAATTGTAATGTAATTAACTCAGCTAGACCTATGACCTAACCGTTTCCAATTCTTGGATAATACAAACTTATAAAATTCGACGCTTGAGATTTTTATAAACTTCCAATACACTTTATTCTTCATATACACTTTATTCTCAAATAATAAATTCTATATTAACAAAATTGTATTGCTATTATTAATTTCAGATAACAACATCAGACATTGAATAGTGGATGTATAAATTCTGGTAAGTCTATTAACATTTTCAATACTAGTTTTTGTCATAACTTACCTTTTTGAGAAGCGTCTAAAAAAATTCAAATTTTGTTAGGTTTTCTGTTTTTATGTATTTATTTATATTTATTTAAGTCGCATCATATTTATATTCAAAAAATTATTACAATCTTACAAATTTGTTTTCTTTAATTACACGAAAATGTTTTATTGTTTGTTTGTTTTTGGACTCAACATCTTCTAAATTCGAAAGAAAGAAAAAAATAGTGACTATCTAAAAAAATTGTTGTTGCTGTCAAGTACTAAAGTATTTGCACAAATATTGTTTTGGTTTTGGTCTACGAATGAACTAATTATTTAACTAATATTAGAGGTACGTACATACATACAAACATACATATATACATACACACGAAAAAATCTTAGATTGGCATAACGTCTTCACTGTTTTACCAAGCAAAAAATTAGGGGAAAAACGAGTGTGGGACTATGACTGTGAGTAAAAAAAAATTTACAATCTTAAGCTCTAAAGTTGGAGAATTGAACAAATTATTTGAAATATGCCAAACATGAATTTCTTTGATTTATTTCAAAATAAAATACAACATTGAACACGGACGGAGTGTGGGGTTTTGTTTTGTAGAACTGGGACCCAGATTTTTTCTTCTCTCACCAAAGGACGTGCACGGACAAATAAATTAAATGCTTTAAATAATAATTGTAGCTACAATTTGTTTGAGTGTGTGTGCGTGTGAAGTTTTTTTTTCATTGGTGTGCTTGTGTCTGTGTTTACTGCAGTAATTATTTTGTCTGTCTGATGGGTAGTCTGTCTAAATCGTCTAAGAAAAACAAGTTGAAATCTAATCGTTAACTGGTTAGTTAGCTGAAGAAATAGTTGTTTTTTGTTTCTGAATATCGTTAGAGGTTTGGCGCCTAAGAGGGAAACAAAGTAATTTCTCATAATTTTCTTTTTTTTTAGTTTTTCAATCTCACTCTCTTGCTCTATTAATTAAAAATCGTGCCTATTTGTTAATTTCTAAACTAAAAGGATTTCAATCGCTCTCTCATTTTTAAATTTTTAATATATATTTTTTTTAATTTTTTCCAATTTTAGTTTTTCTTGTTGAGTTGGGTTTTTGGGTTAGTAATAATAAGAATTTCGTTTTGATATTTTTTTCTGTGTAAATTTTATGTTTTGAAATTAGAATTTAAAATTAATTAAAAGTTGCTGATTTTTTATTTGACTGGTCTCTCCTTTATCAGGTATGTGGTGCTGATATTTCTCTTTTCATTTGATTTGAGTTCGCTCTTGTGATAATGTTTTTTTTTTTCAAAAAAGCCGAAGTGTATCCCATGGATCTCAAAACTCTCTCTTACTCTCTTGGGGGGGAAAATAAACAAACTTGGCTCTCAATATTTTTTCAGGGAGGGTTATTTTAATTCAAAATCCTCTCTCTCACACTCTCTTTTCTTTGAGAACGCACTCTCAAGAGAACACATTAGCTGGCAGAGTTGTATTTAATTCTTCTTCATCTTCTTCTTTTTGTTGGGCGAACCGGGCAAATAATGGAGAAGGGGTGTTGTAAATTCGTCAAAGTTATATCATCATTAAGTATATATTGTTGTTGTTCTGGTTATTTAGTTGGTTGTTTTATTTATTGTTGTTGTTTTTAATTTATTTTGTTTCTATCAACTCAACTTTTAGTCTTTTTATTCTTATCAGCCTCTGATTTATCCGCTATGGCAGCACCTGCAGCTGTGGCGGCTTCCTTTTGTTCAACCGTTGCCAAGGCAGCCTCAGCCATACGTTTATATTTACCAACCAAATCGGGCAAATCGTAGGCAATAGCCACATCCAATTTGGTAATAGGGCAACCACGGAAGTATGAACAAGTCTCCGATAACTTCTTGAATTCATACAATGGATTCAAACGGAAGAAATCGCGATACACCTCAGGATCGGGTAAATCGTAACGTGAGATATTTGTCAATGTGGAGAGACCCTCATAGATGTGATAGTTTTGAGGATTTTCAATAATCGTATCGGCAATACGTTTCTTGTTTCCAAACAAGGACTTGTGATTGTAGTAGGTATTCAAATAGCAGTCAACCATTTTGGCGTGATTACGGACGCGGACCTGGAATGTGGAGGGGGAAATACGTTATTAATATATACCGAAAATATTTCTTTTTTAAAAATCCACGCCTTGAAAAACACTCTAAAAAAACTACGCTTTGAAAAAAAAACTCTCTAAAAAATCTACGCCTTCAAAAAAATCCTTTTTTTTAAATCCAAACCTTCAAAAAAATCTTTTTTTTTAAATCCACGCCTTTAAAAAACTCTCTAAAAAATCCACGCCTTTAAAAAACTCTCTAAAAAATCCACGTCTTGAAAAAAAACTCTCTAAAAAATCCACGCCTTTAAAAAACTCTCTAAAATATCCACGCCTTAAAAAAATTCTCTAAAAAATCCACGCCTTTAAAAAACTCTCTAAAAATCGACGACTTGAAAAAAACTCTCTAAAAAATCCACGCCTTTACAATAAATTCTCTAAAAATCCACGCCTTGAAAAAACTCTCTAAAAATCTACGCCTTGAAAAAACTCTCTAAAAAATCCACGCCTTTAAAAAACTCTCTAAAAAACCACGCCTTGCAAAAAACTATCTAAAAAATCCACGCCATAAAGAAACTCTCAAAAAAAACCCACGCCTTCAAAAACATATTTTTTAAAAAAATCCAGGCCTCAAAAAAATTCTCTAAAAAATATTTTTTAAAAAATCCAGGCCTCAAAAAAAATTCTACAAAAAAATATTTTTTAAAAAAGCCACGCCTTAAAAAAATCCACTAAAAAATATTTTTCAAAAAATCCAAGCCTTGAAAAAAATTCTCTAAAAAATATTTTTTAAAAAAAAATCTCTAAAAAATTATAATTTTTTCTAAAAATCCAGGCCTGAGATAGACCTTGAAAAATAAAAGACAATACTCACAGCAAAACGACGCGCACTGGCAATTTTGTTTTCAATTCTCTTATCGACAGCAGTACGGAGATCACGCAAAAAGGCTCTTTCTTGGGCCAACAGCAAACGAGCTGGAGCACCCTCTTGGTAGGGACGACCCCACAAGGAGGTAGTGTACACCAATGGTGGTTGAGCCGATGACATCAATGGTGAAATATTCCAAATCAAAGCACTTTGAACACGCAACAATTCCTCAGGTTTCACAGTATCGGCCTTATTCAAAATAATACGGGTTTGATATTCACGACCCTTCAATTGATCCAAAATAGCCTCAGTTTCGGGGCCAACATCCAATTTGGCTGGGTCATAGACTAAGAAAATAATATCAGCACGATCGATAAACCATTGGCAGGCATCATTGAAGGGGAAGAGGCGGGAAACTTGTTTGCGTACTTCCAAGATACCGGGAATTTCAACAATGTTAACCTGCAACAATACCAAATTTTAATTTTTCTTTAAAAATATTTAAAAATTGACATTTACCTTTTCCAACAATTTAATTGGCATTTTCAGGCCACGCAAACGATCCTCCAAACCCTGACCGAATTTCTGCAATCCCGAGAATGTATAATCGGCAGCCAATTGTGTACCATCCAAAACTTCAGTCTCATTGCCCCACATCAAAATATTGAAATAGGCAGGAGAGGGTTCGGCACCTTTGAAAATATATACAAGAGAAAACCAAAATAGACTCTAAACTCAATTGCAATTCGAAACTTACCAGATCTCAGAGAATGCGGGGTATATTCATTATCAGTCAAATAGTTAATAATCGATGATTTACCACCAGACCATGGACCCATAAACAATACCAATGGTTTGGAGAAAATTTCCGGATCACCAAAGTGACGATTACTCAAGTCACGATATTTGTACATAACTTCCAATGGTTTAATGGCATTCTCATAGGTACGCTTAATGTCACGCAAGATGACTTCAGCCACATTATCCAAAGCCTTTTCACGGGCATTCGATTGTTCATCGAGTTGCAGGAGTTCATTGATATGATCACGGCTACGACGTTGAGCAGGAATTTCACCTTCCTAATAATATCGGGAGGGAAGAATAATTTTTGATTAGAATTTATATGTAATAATTTTATAGGGATATATTTACTAAATCTTTGAAATCTGTACTATTTCTTTGGGAATTGTGTTAATTTTCTTTAATTATTTGAAGGATTCTTCAAGATTGGAAATGGAGGTGAGTTATTTCGTGCAGCCTAAAAGTATGTTACATTATATGTGAATCATTATGTGAATTTCTGAATGGTAGGGTTCTATAGGTTGACTTCGGTGACAAAATTATTTGCAACATGAAGGAATGGGAACTGACGGGTATATTACCATCCATTGTAATTCCTCATTATATCCTACCCATCTATTATGTTATGGTATTATACGTTAGTGTGGACTCAAGAGTGTGTAACGCCGTAAAATATTGACCCTAAACTAACATTTTTTAAATGAATACCAACTATTTTAATGTATATAAAGGGTATGGGAGTTGTACCAAAATATTGGTAGGTGTCTACGTTTTTTATATACTACACACCTATATTGTAAGGGTATTGTAGATTTGTGTAACGCTGCGAAAAATAGATCTTGGATTTACATTTTAGTATACCGATCATCATATATCGGTTTGGCGAGTCGATATTGTCATCTGTTCATTAGGCAAGCACAACAAAATTTCTATAGGGAAGACGATCTATCCAACCAATATGAATGGCTGTCATGATAATGAAGGTTAATATTTAGCGGGTCAAATGAACGCATTTTTTTTTTTTTTTTTTTTGTAAAATATTAAAATTTGAATCTTATGGATTATTTTTTACTCCTGGAAAACATGATTCAGAAAAGATTCCACAGAGGAGCTGTTGATCTCTAATCGATTAATAGATTGGAAATATCGCGAAATATTTCCCAAGATAGGAATATAAATCTGCAGAAACTTAGAGCTCAGTGGTGGTTGTGTAGGGAATCATATGGTCGGCACAATTAGATTTTACGACCCTGTTCATCGCTTTTTACTACATAATATGTATTCTTAACCGGATTGAATGCTAATGCGATTAACCTATGTCCGCCATGTTCCGAAAGAATTTTGATTTTGTTCAATTTCGAAAATGGTTTGAATACGACCCGAATCGGTTTTAGAAGCGTTTTTTGACAGAATTGGAGGTTATTTAGATTTTCTAGTTCATAGATGTCGGTGGAAAATCTCCCTACTAAAATCCATCAATATCAAATAGAATTCCTGGTGTCCAGTGGGTAATAAAATCTCCTTGGAAATTTTTGGCACAATTAGATTTTACGACCCTGTTCATCGCTTTTTACTACATAATATGTATTCTTAACCGGATTGAATCCTAATGGGATTAACCTATGTCCGCCATGTTCCGAAAGAATTTTGATTTTGTTCAATTTCGAAAATGGTTTGAATACGACCCGAATCGGTTTTAGAAGCGTTTTTTGACAGAATTGGAGGTTATTTAGATTTTCTAGTTCATAGATGTCGGTGGAAAATCTCCCTACTAAAATCCATCAATATCAAATAGAATTCCTGGTGTCCAGTGGGTAATAAAATCTCCTTGGAAATTTTGGTTTGTACAGGGGTAACGGTTCCGATTCACCAGACGCATGGATCGTATATGAAGTATATTAACAAAGTTTTGAATCGTTTCCTAATCCACCGTATTGCCCAAATGTGGACTCTTTGTCATTACGTTTGCAAAACCTCGAAATATTCGTCGGACATCTCATACAGTTTATATGAAATTCTATATCGATATTGATTACTATTGCTATTGTTAGGAGTTTTGGGATCGAAAATAGGATATATCGGTTCGTTGACCCATGTTCTCATCGAATAAGCTGTTATTTGTATTTTAAATACGCACTCCAAAAACAATTAAACACGGCCGAACCTAAGGTTTCCAATACATTTAGCAGTTGACATACGTCATACCCATGGTGGAACATAACAATTCACCACTTTTAAAAACACATCTCTTTATGAATTAAGTTGCGCCAAAAGCATATCTTAAGCTTTATATATAAGTGTAAGGTGTGTCAAACAAACTATCCCAGCTATCTAAACAAATTTCTACAATGTCAGTATTATTAAAATTAATGAGGTTAAAAGTATTCCAAATTTTTAAAATAACCATATTTAAGGAAAAAAAATCAATGTAAAATTAACACAATTTCCAAAAAAAGTTTTTTTAGATTTCCAAGGATAATAACTACATTTTCTACTCTAGGATAAGCGGGTACTTAAAATTAAATTGCAATCAAATTTAAAGCTTATTTTTCGGCATGCAAATTAAAGCGTTCTAAGAATATTAAATCAAAATGTTCACCATCATATATATGTGTAACTGCAATGGAACGATCGAATGTTGAGAAAGGATATTTGCGATAATAATAACCCAGGATCTTAGCAAAAAATACACTAATTTTAGGTAAAAAAACGATATTCAAATCAATAACTGTGATCGGCAGAAAGGAAATGTCTTGGTCACACACAGAAAATTTATTTCAGATCTTAGAGTGGAGAGAGATTTTAGGAAAAAGTAAAGTACTTCCTATACTTCTCCCTCCGAATCCATCATCCGGCTGTGTGCGACCTTCAAGAAAAAAATGATATCAAGTAATAAATGATACGTATGTTTCTAATAATCGGCAACAATGTGATATTGGCAGCCATAACAACAACGCTAGGCATACAATTCAATGTTTTTTGGAATGTTTTATATAAAATAATGAGTGAAGAGAATGCTATGTGTTTTTTGTCGGCAACTCAATACTCCCAATTAATAATGAGTAGGTAAACTTATAAAACCTGTAAACTTTAAAAATAAAACAAACAATAATTATCAAGTAATAGAACTAATTGCAAATAAATTACAGTGAAAGTAGAAGGGAATGATCAGGATATCAAAAAAATCAACAAGTTTTTGTCCATTTTTTTTTCATTGTCATCATTACAATCTTACCCATAGCAATTCATCTTCTGGCCTTGTTTCAATATCATCAAGCTCACCATCACTATCATCTTCCTCGTTAAGCAAACCATCTCCATCACGATCAACATCATGTTCATTGAGGACACCATCACCATCGATATCATCATCCTGATAATTGGGTATACCATCACCATCGATGTCATCATCTTGATGGTTAGGCACTCCATCACCATCTTTATCCTCATCCAAATCATCGGGTATACCATCACCATCCATATCAGATTGTTTGATTGCCTCAGTCAAATCACGTTTGGCACGTTTAATGGCTTTTGCCTGCATAGCTGAGGGTTCATGATCATCTTCATCATGAGCATTGGGTATACCATCACCATCGATATCCTTGTCCACAGTATTCGGTATACCATCACCATCCATATCGGCATCCATTTCATTGAGTAGAATATCACCATCAATATCTGAATCATCATCATTGAGTATACCATCACCATCGATATCGAGGCTGGTAGGTTCTTCATCATTTGGCAAGCCATCACCATCAATGTCGTGATCTTTTTCATTGTTAATACCATCACCATCAATGTCTTCATCAATGGTATTGGGTTTGCCATCACCATCGATGTCGCTATCCTCATGGGCCGGTATGCCATCACCGTCGACATCATAGTCTTTGTGATTGGGTATACCATCACCATCCATATCAGGATCTTGGGCATTTGGTATGCCATCACCATCTATGTCGGGTTCACCGGCCACCTTCCAAGGATATTTTTTATGAATTTTATTTTTATTTATTTTTTTTCAAAAATTGAAATGTTTTTAACAAAAAACTCCACAACTTAAAAATATAGGGTCTTTTTTGTTTAGGGATCAGGATAGTTGGAGTAAGTGCTATTGTGCTGTTAAGCTTCAGATTGGACATTTTAGATTAAAAAACCAAAACCATATAACAAATAATTAAAACTCGGAAAGGGAAACGAATGTAATTTTTGCTCTGTGTTCTGTCATTTAAACCAGTTTTTTACGAGCTGGACTATAGAAGTAAACCAACGTTGTTTTGAAAAATGAAATAATATTCGTCCTTTTTAGTTTTGCGTTTTTTTTTTCATTTGAAGTAAGAATGACTCATGATAAGAATGGTGGATAGAGAACAACAACAACGAATCAACCAACCAACGAACCAATTTCCATTCAATTCTTACCCTCTTAACTTTACCACCAGGCTTCTTATCATCTGCCTCACCATCATGATCATCACGGTCATTGGGCACCCCATCACCATCCCGATCAGTATCAAGATGATTTGGCACCCCATCCCCATCAATGTCCACGTCCAAATGATTTGGTATGCCATCACCATCGATATCATCATCCTCATGATTGGGTACACCATCCCCATCGCTGTCATCATCCCGATGATCGGGTATACCATCACCATCCAAATCACGATGATCATCATCATGGGCATTTGGCACACCATCACCATCGATATCCTTGTCATGGACATTAGGCACCCCATCACCATCCATATCCTCATCCAAATCATTGGGTATGACATCACCATCGATATCTTCATCATCATCATTGGGTATGCCATCACCATCAATGTCCAGACTCTTGGGTTCATGTTCATTTGCCAAACCGTCACCATCAACATCCTCATCTTCATGGTTCAAGGTACCATCACCATCGATATCCTCATCCTCATGATTCAAGGTACCATCACCATCAATATCAGGATCGGCATGACTTGGCAGACCATCACCATCCATATCAGTGTCCTCATGATTCAGTATACCATCACCATCCATATCGGTGTCATGGACATTGGGTATGCCATCACCATCGATGTCATGATCTCTGGAAATCTTCCGTAGGTGGGGATATTTTAAAAACAATTTTTTTAAATTTTTATTCGCAACATAAAGAGAGAGGAAAAAACAAATGCTTAAAAGAGCAGGCGAATCATGATGGGGAACTGATTGACCCGCCCATGGAAAATCTGTGTTACGTTTCTTCATGTGGCGACTGACTGTCTGGTGTGTAGATTTATTTTTCTTTGTTTGAAATGTTCCGATGTTCCATGTTTTCAACAATTTTTTTTAATATCTTACCCTTGTCGTCTTTTTTTCCGCCTTCTTGTCATGCACATAACCACCCTCGTGATCGTCGTGCTCATTGGCAATGCCATCACCATCACGATCCACATCCTTGTGATTGGGTATACCATCACCATCTATGTCATCATCCTTATGATTGGGTATACCATCACCATCGATATCATCATCTTTATGATTGGGTATACCATCACCATCCCGATCATCATCCAGACAATCGGGTATACCATCACCATCCATATCAGGATGATCATCATCGTGGGCATTCGGCACACCATCGCCATCAATGTCTTTATCATGCAAATTTGGTATACCATCACCATCCATATCTGGATCCAATTCATTGGGTATCACATCACCATCAATATCCTCATCATCATCATTGGGTATGCCATCGCCATCAATATCTAAACTTGTCGGTTCATGTTCATTCGACAAACCATCACCATCTGCATCATGATCCTTTTCATTTAATATGCCATCACCATCGATATCCTCATCCTCATGATTCAGTGTACCATCACCATCGATATCCGGATCAACATGGCTTAGCAAACCATCACCATCCATATCGATATCCTCGTGATTCAGTATACCATCTCCATCCATATCGGTGTCATGGGCATTGGGTATCCCGTCACCATCAATATCGCTGCCATGTCCTCTGGAAATCTTCCATAATGTCGATATTTAATACTTAAATTAATTTTTCACAACATTTGAAATGTCTTCTGTTCGGAAGTGGATCCAAGATCCACCCCAAACCACAATAACAGAAAAATAGTGTAAAGAAACGAAAACTTTTGTGCAGAGTAAAGTAGAAAAGTAAAAAACTTGTAAAAATATGGAATTGTTTTGGTGATGACAATTCCAGATCCACAAGACAAGACCCAGAATGTCATCCCACCCAGACAACAAGACAATGAACGAGTAAAATTGGACGAAATAAATTGTACGAATTGTGGAGACTTGGTAAGTCTCATGAGTCGACAGATAGAGAGAGAAAGAAAGAGAGAGTGACCGTGTAACTGACCGTGATAGTGACGTGATGGTGGTGACGTTGTAGTGTCAAATCTTACCCGTTTCTTTTTGATCTTATCATCCGCCTCGCCATCACTGTGATCCTGTTCATTATGGAAACCATCCCCGTCGCGATCTATATCCCGCTCATTGGGTATACCATCCCCATCGATATCATCATCCTTCAAATTTGGTATACCATCAGCATCGATATCATCGTCATGATGATCTGGTATACCATCCGCATCCATATCACGATGATCTATATCTTGGACATTTGGTACCCCATCGCCATCAATATCACGATCGCGTACATTCAATATACCATCGCCATCCATATCTTCATCCATTTCATTGGGTATAACATCACCATCGATGTCTTCATCATCATCATTCGGTATACCATCACCATCGAGATCCAAACTTTTCGGTTCCTCATCATTTGGCATACCATCACCGTCCAAATCATGGTCCATTTCATTCGTAATGCCATCACCATCAATATCTTCATCTTCGAAATTTGGAGTTCCATCGCCATCAATATCGGAATCTTCGGCAGTGGGTATGCCATCACCATCGGCATCATTGTCCTCTTGATTTAGGATGCCATCACCATCCATGTCCGTGTCATGGACATTGGGTATGCCATCGCCATCAATGTCACTAGCGGCGACACCTCTGGAAATCTTCCCAAAAGTTAAGATTTAATACAGAGGCGTCTTTACTTCTTTCAAAAATTTGTTGTGGGGTACAGTGATCGCCATATTAGACCACTGCCACTCCAGGGAATTTTTATTTCTTGGGAAAATCTAATTTGTTAAGGGAAAAATGTCTGTATGCCATAATGTTGTTTTTTTTTTTAGATTCTGAAATCAGGTTTTCGAGTAGTGACTTGATTAGCAGAACGTTTTGTTACTGGTCATGTGTGGTGGTCCATAGTTATTACTGGTGGGGATTTTATTTAATAACCTTGTTTCTTATCCGAAATAGTCCCAGATTTTCAGATACAATGTGTTGGGGTTCATGGCATGTCGATGATCATTTCTTTCAATTCTTACCCGTGTCGCCTTGTGCTGTCCCCTTTTCTTATCATCTGCCTCACCATCACTATCATCCTGATGATTATGGAATCCATCGCCATCACGATCTATATCGTGGTCATTGGGAATACCATCCCCATCTATGTCGTTGTCCAAGTGATTGGGAATACCATCCTGATCAATATCATCATCATGATGATCGGGCACACCATCACCATCCATATCACGATGATCCTTATCCTGGACATTTGGGACACCATCACCATCAATATCCTTATCGCGTACATTCAAAATACCATCACCATCCATATCCTCATCCAGCTCATTGGGTATAACATCACCATCGATATCTTCATCATCATCATTTGGTATCCCATCACCATCTAAGTCCAAACTTTTGGGTTCTTCATCATTTGACATGCCATCACCATCTACATCGTGATCCTTGTCATTGGCTATGCCATCGCCGTCAATATCATCGTCTTCATGATTGGGTGTACCATCACCATCAATATCCGAATCTTGATCTGTGGGTATACCATCACCGTCGGCATCAAAATCTTCATGATTTAAAATACCATCACCGTCCATATCGGTGTCATGGACATTGGGAATACCATCGCCATCAATGTCACTATCATGGCGTCTGGAAGTCTTGCCATAAAAATTTGTAATTTAACACCAATGAAACCAGAAACAAAATGGAAATAGAACAAAACTATTGAATTATCCCAACAAAAAGTCAATATTTTTTAAAACAAACAACCAGAAAGGTGCCAAGAAGAGATAAAATGAGAGAAGACAAATTTTCAAATCCACAAATTTTGTATGCGATCCGAATAAAATGTACGATTTAAAGAAGAGAAAGTAGAAAAAGTAATGTAACAACACCCCAAGAGTTCACATTTGAGGATAACAGAAGAAGAAAATATGAACGATAAAGATAAATAACACAAGAAAGACTTCGACGGTTTCATTTTTTGCCTCTTACCACTTTCACTTTAACACCCAATTTCTTATCATCCTTTTCACCGTCCCTCGAATCCTTTTCATTTGGCACCCCATCACCATCACGATCTGTATCTTTGTGATTTGGCAAACCATCACCATCGATATCATCATCCCGCTCATTTGGTATACCATCACCATCAATATCCTCATCATGTTCATCCAATATCCCATCATCATCCAGATCATCATGATCCTCATCGTGGGCATTGGGTACACCGTCTCCATCGATGTCCACATCTTTGATATTTAATATTCCATCACCATCCATATCTTCATCCAATTCATTTGGGATAACATCACCATCAATATCATCATCTTCATCATTGGGTATACCATCTTTATCGAAATCTAAAGATGTGGGTTCTTCGTTATCAGCCATTCCATCACCATCATCATCCTCATCTTTTTCATTGGCAATGCCATCTCCATCGATATCTTCATCTTCACTATTCAATTTACCATCACCATCGATATCGGTATCCTGACCAATGGGTATGCCATCACCATCAACATCAGAATCGGCGTGATTTAAAATACCATCACCATCCATATCGGTGTCTTTATCATTGGGTATACCATCGCCGTCCAAATCGTGTTCACGGGCTCTGGAAATCTTCCAGAAAAGCATAATTTAATAATCATACACACATACATGGAATGAGGCCTCAGATGTAGGGAACAGGGCAGGATGATAGAAAATCAGAAAATAGAATAGAGTCGGTTTTTTTAAGTTTAAAAGTGGAAACCAATCGATAGATTTTTTAATATTTAGATTTGTATTTGTTTGTTATATAGAAATTAGGTCTGATACATCATTAATTTGTTATAGAAGTTCTGGATCATGTAGTCTGCACGTGCTTCCTTAATTTGTCTTTGAAATTCAGGATCATTTTGTAGGTTTTGTGGTATGAAGTCTGCGATATTTTAAATTGTTTTCGAAATTCCTGATTTTTAAATGGGTTGAGAAATGAATAATTGGGCATGTCGTCGGCGTAAAAATCGTGTTAATGAACTCTGGACAACAGGATGGTAGTGTAGATAGATAGAGGGAGGGCAGTTGACATTTTTAATTTTATTTTTTAATTTATGCCATTTTTTTAAATATATTTTTGTATTTGTATTTAATTTGCAAATAGAGATCGATAAATCCTTAATTTACTGTTGAAATTCTTGATGATTTTGTAGATCTAGTGAAATGAGGTCTGAGAGATCCTTTGTATTATTTTTTGAAGTGGAAACTGAGAGATCGTTAATTTGTTACTTGAAATCGGGATCCATATTTCTTAGTATAATATTTTTGGTACTTAATTTCGATTTATATGCTGTTGTATTTGTACTTATTCCAGTTTTTATAAATGATTTGGAAAGATCTTTAGTTATGTTCGAGTTGAGGTTCAGTATAGCTTCCGAAAGACTTTCGTATGCTGTTGTATTTGTAGTTATTTAAGTTTTAGAAATGATTTTGAGAGATATTTTTTTTAGATTGCAATTCAGAATAGTTTTTGAACGATTATTGGTGAAAAAAATTAAATTCAATATGACCCCCTATTTTTCTTACCCGTTTCAATTTATGTTTCGATTTCTTATCATCCGCTTCGCCATCACGACGATCTTTCTTATTCGGTATACCATCACCATCACGATCTAAATCATGTTGATTTGGTATCCCATCACCATCAATATCTGTATCTTTATGATTAGCAATACCATCACCATCAATATCATCATCATGTTCATCAATGATACCGTCACCATCACTATCACGATGATCATCATCATGGGCATTTGGTATCCCATCGGCATCCATATCTTTGTCACGTATATTTGGCATACCATCTCCATCCATATCATCATCCAATTCATTGGGTATATCATCACCATCAATGTCGCTATCATCATCATTCACTACGCCATCATTATCGATATCAAGGCTGTGAGGTTCTTCAGCATTAACAATGCCATCACCATCAATATCTTCATCCTGGTCATTGGCTATACCATCGCCATCTACATCTTCATCCTCACTATTTGCTTTGCCATCGCCATCTATATCTGAATCTTTGGCCGCTGACAAACCATCACCATCTACATCGGAATCTTCATGGTTCAATATGCCATCACCATCCATATCTTGGTCTTTGTGATTGGGTATACCATCGCCATCGATGTCATTTGCACGAACTCTAGAAATCTTCCCAAAAATCAAAAGTTAATTCTTAATTTTTCTGCAGAGTCCAGAATCAGAAGTGTCATGGGACCATTGATGATTGGATCAGTGTGAAATTTATTTTTCTTTGTTTTTCGTGTCTTGCCATCTTACCCGTTTCGTTTTCCTTTCCAGTTTCTTATCATCCGCCTCATAATCACGCGAATCCTTAACATTTGGTATACCATCTCCATCTCGATCCGTGTCCTGTTGATTCGGTATACCATCGCCATCTATATCATGATCTTTATCATTAGGTATACCATCACCATCGATATCGGCATCATGTTCATCGATAACACCATCTTTATCCATATCTCTGTGATCATCATCGTGGACATTGGGCACTCCATCGCCATCAATATCACGATCACGTAAATTGAGTATACCATCACCATCCATATCCTCATCCAATTCATTGTGTATCGAATCACCATCTATATCACTATCCTCATCATTGGGTATGCCATCTTTATCGATATCCAAGGAATGTGGTTCCTGATCATTTGGCATACCATCGCCATCTACATCACGGTCACGTTCATTTGATATGCCATCACCATCGATATCATCATCTTCGGCATTCGGTTTCCCATCACCATCGATATCGGTATCTTCATCGGTGGGTATACCATCACCATCGACATCATTGTCATCGCTATTGACAATGCCATCGCCATCCATGTCGTAGTCATGTTCATTGGGTATGCCATCACCGTCGATGTCCTTGCCTCTGGAAACCTTCCAATTGTTTGTATTTAATAAAAATATATTCTTTATGAAAAGTAGGTAGTCGTGTATGCAGCTGAAGAATGTTGTAATCATGAAGAAGTATTTCCGATTTTTTTGTTTTGTTTTCATATTTCAATTTCAAATAATTCAGTGAAACTGTGTAATTTTGTGCGAACAGAAACCATTGTAAGAAGAAGTAGTGAACAGAAAGTGTCTTAAATTGTTTAACAGTGAATTTTCATTTTCAAATTTCTTTTTTCTTGCTCAAATCTCGTGTTTAAGTGCCGGAACGTGCATTCAAAAATATATCATAAGTGATTGTGTGCCATAGAAGTGATCATTGTAGGTGTGTCAAGTTAAAAGAATCAACAACAATATGACCCACAATTCTTACCCATTTCTTGTCGTCATGTTCACCATCATTATCATCGCGTTCATTTGGCAAACCATCACCATCACGATCGGCATCTCGATCATTTGGTATACCATCACCATCAATATCACTATCCAATCTATTTGGTATGCCATCCCCATCGACATCATCATCCTGATGATTTGGCACACCGTCACCGTCGCGATCATCATCCCTATGATCTGGGATGCCATCACCGTCCATATCATGATGATCATCATCCTGTTTATTGTGTACCCCATCACCATCCACATCCATGTCATGGGCATTGGATATACCATCACCATCCATGTCATCATCTAAATCATTCGGGGTATTATCACCATCAATATCGTCATCTTCATCATTGGCCACACCATCGCCATCAACATCGTTGTCTTTTTCATTTGACACACCATCTCCATCGATATCTTCATCCAAATGATTTGGTGTGCCATCACCATCAATATCCTCATCCAAGTGATTGGGTGTGCCATCGCCATCAATATCATTATCCAGGTGATTGGGTGTCCCATCACCATCTATGTCGGTATCCTCTTCGGCGGGAATACCATCGCCATCCATATCGTTGTCTTCATGATTGGCAATGCCATCACCATCCATGTCATCGTCGTGTATGTTTGGAATGCCATCGCCATCAATGTCGTTAGGATCTCCACGTTTTCCGGAAACCTTCCATAATAATACTCAAATTCTTTTACTATAGTGTGGAACAAGAATTTAAAGGAAAAAATCTACCCTAAAACTTGGACTGAAAATTCAAAGAAATTTCCCTTCAAACCCTTTTTAAGTTCATATCCCCTTCCCAATAATTTCAGATAATAATTTCTCGGTTTTCTTCACATCAATCGATCGACCCCATTATCCAGGATGTAGTACGCACTAATCTCTTTCTACAAGCTGGCAAAGCGCTCTAAAGCAGGTCCTTTCTTTCATAAATTTAAATCTTACCCATAATAATTCATCTTCTGGCTTAGTATCTTCCTCTTCGGTTTTGGCCTCTTCATCGGGTTTACCATCACCATCATCATCACTATCCTCATGATTTGGTACACCATCGCCATCAATATCTTCATCCTGATGATTGGGAATACCATCACCATCGATGTCTTCATCCTTATTATTGGGAATGCCATCACCATCACGATCTTCATCCTCATCATCGGGAATGCCATCATTATCAAGGTCACCAATGCTACGTTTCGCCCTGGCGCTTGGTTGGACATCAGCCTGTTCGTAGGCATCTTCATCACGTGGGTTGGGAATGCCATCACCATCAATATCTTTGTCACTGGTATTGGGAATACCATCACCATCCATATCGGCATCCAATTCATTGTGGACCACATCACCATCAATGTCGTGATCATCGTCATTGGTAATGCCATCATTGTCGACATCTAAACTCTTGGGTTCCTCCTCATTGGGCAAGCCATCACCATCGACATCATGATCTTCTTCATTGGGAATGCCATCACCATCGATATCCTTGTCCTCTTCATTGGCAATACCATCACCATCGATATCATTGTCCTGATCATTGGGAATACCATCACCATCGATATCATTATCCTGATCATTAGGAATACCATCACCATCAATGTCATTATCCTGGTCATTGGGGATACCATCACCATCAATGTCATTATCCTCAGTATTGGGGATACCATCTCCATCAATATCATCATCCTCATGATTAGGAATACCATCACCATCGATATCATCATCCTGATCATTAGGGATACCATCACCATCGATATCATCATCCTGATCATTAGGGATACCATCACCATCGATATCATTATCCTGATCATTAGGAATTCCATCACCATCAATATCATCGTCTTGATCATTGGGGATGCCATCGCCATCTATATCGTCATCTTCAGTGTTTGGAATACCATCACCATCAATATCATCATCTTCGTGATTGGGAATACCATCACCATCAATATCGTCATCTTCATGGTTAGGAATACCATCACCATCAATATCATCATCTTCATGATTGGGAATGCCATCACCATCGATATCATCATCCTCGGTATTGGGGATACCATCACCATCGATATCATCATCCTGATCATTGGGAATGCCATCACCATCCATATCGTCATCTTCATCATTTGGAATGCCATCACCGTCTATGTCATTATCACTGACATTGCGTACACCATCTCCATCGATGTCGCCATCCACAACATTGGCCACACCATCACCATCCATATCAGCATCCACAACATTCTCGACACCATCACCATCCAAATCGGCATCAACAACATTGGCAACACCGTCGCCATCCAAGTCGGCGTCGTGTACATTTGCCACACCATCACCATCCATATCAGAGTCCTTAACATTGGGTATGACATCACCGTCAATATCTTCATCATTGACATTCAAGACGCCATCACCATCCATATCTTCATCTTGTTCGTTGGGTATGACATCGCCGTCGATGTCACTGTCCTGTTCATTGGGAATGCCATCACCATCCAAATCAATTGGGGCCTTAGCCTCTTCCACAGAGTCTACATCGGCAATTTCAACAGTTTCCTTTTCATCAGCAGCATGAACAGGTTGATCTCCCTGCATTTCACCGGACTCTCCATATTGTTCGTTAGCTTTGTTCGTTTCTTCTTCACCGGAAGTCGTATCGGGACTAGGGATTAATGTTTCTGAAAAAAATATATTTTTGGAGAAATTAGTTAGGGTGATTGTGAAAGAAGGAGTAAAGACATAGCTAAATCTTGAAAATCAGTGATGGGCGGAATAATATTTTTTTTTTCTATTTATGAAACAAAAATGACAATTATTCGTTCCCGTATAATTTATGTCTCCGGTTAATCACGAATAATCTTGGAAATAGGTATATAGGATTACAATTTTAAATGAATAATCCTTACCTTTGTCATCACCTGTTTTTAATTCGTTAATAGCCTTTTCAATGTAAGGACGGCATTCGGATTCAGTAGGTCCAACATCAGAGCTAGCTAACACATCTGAAAGAAATAAAAAAATAACAAATTATTATGTGTTAACGATTGCGTGCATATTTTGTTAATTCATTATTTTTACAGCCAGTCAGTGGCGCCCAATTGAAAATATTTGTAGTTGCCATATAAATAAAGTTGAGATAGAACATTTTCGGAGTTGCAAAAACAAACTTATTGTAGAAAAAAATCGCATCCTATGGATATATTGTTTAACGTGTTGGTATAACCCTCGATGGAGGGAGAAAAAATCTACAGAAGAATTAAGTGGATATAAATTAGCATTCTCGGTTCTTCCAGGCAATATAGATAGATGCAGGAATTTTGGGGCCTCAGAGGAAAATATGACTAACGTAAAAAAGATCAAGAAAACCTGACAAGAGGCAACATGGCAATTGTTGAAGCCCCGTTGAGTGAACGGAGTCGCATGACTCTGAGAATACACGTCGTCTAACGCCTAAAATTTCTGCAGCACATTGCCAAGAGAAGGAAGGAAGAAAAATAATTTACAAAATGTTGTTGTTGTTTTGTTGGTATTTTTTGAGATTAATGAAAAGTCCTTATATTTGATGGCGGGCATGATAACTCTTCACTGGAATATCGGAATCCAAAAATTCCAACGGCGTTAGAAAGAGTACATGTTTGACTCTCATATAAACTAGGATTATTGACTTCGTACTTTGAATTTTTTTTTTTAAATCGCTTTTTTTTGGCCACGAACTAAGTTAAAACATAAGGAAGATCTTGACCGATTAGATTTATCCTAGTTTATACGATAGCTATACACTCACAGAGAAACATGTAAACATTTGGAAATTTGGATTTTCACATGAAATTTTATAGGGACATTCTTGAATTAGTGTAGGTTCGATTTAAACAAAAAAAAAATGTTTGCCTTAAAAGAGAGAAAAAGTTACCCCGCACGCATAATCATCAATTACCATTACTATGTTCTGGATCGCGTTCTTCGCATTGTCATGGATGATTTAAGTCTGTACGAAGCATGGTGAAATCATTTACTCCCTTAGGGTATATAATCTGACGGTATAAACCATATTCTGTGAATATATTACTCAAAAGCTACTGTATGTGCTTTACTTATTAACTGTAATGGATTCAGCTAGACGGGATATGTTACAAACATCTGAGCCCATAGAAACGTATAAAAAACCTTTTTCGACAGAATATAATTTCCATCAGTCACATTATTTACTATACCCGGCTAAAGGAGTCCCACTGTTCCTGTTAACATGTGGCCACAACCCTTAAGTTTTTTTTTAATTGTCATTGAAAAGGTAGATAGATTTTATTCAAAATTATTTTTTTTTAATTTTTTTGAAAAAATATTTTTTTCATTCATACATTTTTATACATCTTTTTTGGTAACCAAGTGACAAAATATTTTTCAATTTTTTATTATTTATTTCCATTGTTTGTTTTGTATACGAACTTGACACTAATTCGCTAAATTGTTAATTCACATACATACATATATGTGTATTGTATGTGAAAGTATTTATTTTAAAATAAATTTTTCAGATCATGTGTACGAAATGAATTTTCCCATAGGTATTATAAAAAAAGAAGAGACATTCATACATACATTCGTATATACATATGTCTTCTATAGATGTTTTTATTTGCATTGAAATTGTTTGTTTAAATATTTTGTTTATAGTCGATGTTTCACTTATCTAAAAATTTTCTATTGCTGCTCTCTCTCTCTCTCCCCGCTCGCTTCTCTATTTCAGCACACGATCATTTCGTTGTTTTTTCCTTGGCTCTATGCCCATCACTTCCTACACAGTTTTCTTTCCACACATCTCTGTTTTTCATTTCATTATTCGATTCTTTTGCGTAAGTCTTTCATGGCTAATGTTTGTTGCTGCTGTTGTTGTTATTGCATTTGTTCATTATTTCACATTTGCAAATATGAATAGAACAATTTTTAATATTTTTTTGAATAGTTGTTAGGTAAAAAAGAAATTAAACGGACACACGCACTCAGAACTTTGAGGTCACCTAAGTTTAGTGCATTTATCTAATGGTTATGTTTTTTTATATAAATTTATTCTTGTTGTTGTCAATTTAAGCTTTGTATACAAATTATAGTTAGGTTTTTTAGGAATGTATGTGTGTATGAAAAAAATGAATAGTTTTTTTTTTTTTCATTGCAGATCCCAAGTCATACATAATATAGAATTTTAATTATTTTCTACATATTTAATGATTGTTTATGCAATTTATTTATTTATAATTAATTATGCGCTCATTTTTTCTGCAGTTTAATTAATTTTTAACACAGTAGGCTGTTATTAGATTACATGTGTTGTTTCTTTCAGCGCCATTAAATATTGGTATTTTGGTATATATTCCACGATAAGGAAGAGAGTATATTAAATTTGACATTCCATTTGCAACACCTAGAAATACTAACCTGAGAACCCATAAAGTATTTATATTCTTGATCAGAATAGAATGATATGCCTATTTTGCCTGGACGGACAGTCGCTTGTTAATATTACGCTAGAGCTTGAAATGTTTAAGATTGATAGTATATATTTTGCACATACATTGCCATCACACCTTAGATGTTAGGTATTTGAAATCGGATTGATCGGTCCCATGCTTCGTACAGCCCCCAATTCCGGTATTAAATATTCTGCATTTTGGCCAGTTTTTCATCCGAATCGGCTGTAATTTTATAGTTTGTGTTCCTATTTGGAAGTACAAATTTAAAAATATTTAAGTTTTAAAATTAAATTAAAGATTTTAAAGATAAAATCTCTGGCGTTATCAGGGTTATGTTTGGTCGGTCTGAATGTGAAGATCGAATTTTATTAATTAATATGTTTACATTGACATAGCTGAACATATAACACTCTACAGAATTAATAGCGGAGCCAATTTCCGAGTTTGGGTAAATCTTAGCGACTTTTCAAGTGTGCTATACTATGCATATAGACCCGGTAAATTGGGTGATTTTGAGTAATAGAAGTTTAAACAGCGTACGCATGTTTCGTATTTTGTTTTACTGTCAACAAATTTTCAGTTTGGTCTGTAAGTTAATCACGAATGGCCTAATAGACGAGCAATTCGTGCTAATCATTGAATTCTATAATCATAATCGATCAAGGATCGATTAGTCGCCGTTAACAGCTGTTGAACCTCTCTTCCCAACAATGTGGAAATTTTTGTGCAAGGATTTAGGTTTAAAGCCTTTCAGAAGTGGAAATTTTGATAATTGTTTATTCGGCCCGGTCACGCCGTCTACCCCAACGTGACAAAAATCCAAGGTCCAATATTTTATGAAAAGTTTTGTTCAGCTCAATGGGTAAGCAAGTAAGCAGAGCACTACCATTGATAGTGATACCCAACTTTTTTTTGACCATTCGATAAACATGTTTCATGTTCGGATCGGTAAATTGGACGCATAGATCGTGCGATTTTACGCCTTTAGACTATATTTGTGTTAAAGCACATGTCAAGACAGACAAGTACAGATAAACCCATTTCAATTGACCAATTGGAAAACAATTTTGAATCACTTTTCGTGAGATACCGGCCGAACTGTTGCAAAGAGTATGCCAAAATTGGACTGAGCGGATGGATCATTTGAGGCCAAGTCGCGGTCAATATTTCAAATAATCCTTCGAAGCACTCAATTACTTTCCATGTGCTTATCTTAACCTGGATATGCATTGATGTGTTCAGAGCTCGCTAAAGGAGCGACTTCGTACAATTCTCCTTTTATACAGTTTTTTTTTTAAACTTGGTTGTTCTTAAAAATATTTTTGCAAAGTCATCTACATAATCATAGCTTTAGACAGTTAATTTTAAATACCATACAAAGTTACCGCAAAATTCTCGGAATTTTTTTTCACGTTTTTCAACCGAATTGGCTGTATTTTGTTCATTGAGTTTTCTAACAAAATGTATCGATACGGAATTTTTGGTACGTTTTTGGTAATATATGTTTTCAGTCACACCACTTTTTAAGATAGCTCCCATATAACGGTACCGGCTTTTATTCGGTATTTTAGGATTTTTACGCGAATTTTGTTTTCATCGTGTGTCCAATCTTCCTACAATAAATTACTATGAAACAGCTCACGATATATATATAAAAAACATTACAGGTAATTTCCAGCTCATGGTGGAGACCCTGATCCATGGTCTGTGTAAAAACATATTTGCGTAATGAGGGTCCAATTGTCTTCGAACCAAATTCATTTAAAACAATTTGGAGTCGATCTACATATACCAATCACATCGTATTTTTCTTCAACTCTGAAAACTCTTTCGTAGATAAGGAATAACGGCCCACTTCTTCTAGCACTTCTCCCATAATATGGTCAAAATTTAGCTGAGAAATAAATTTATAATACCACGCGAACGAAATATCCTACCCAAAATTTGTACAATCTCATGTCCAAGAGACTATTTGTTTACTCCCTCAAAAAGGCTTCAAACTTTGAATATTTTGTAAATCCAATGTCTAGCGATGAAATCTCCAATTATATTTGCACATCGTAATAAGTTTACCAATTCTAGGTCACGTCTGAAGTTTGTGTTGGTCCACTTCTTCTATTAACCCCATTATAAAGAGTCTTAATTTTATGTATATTGTGTATTATATAGGTTCATAGCAAGGTATAACTCTAATATGTATCATATACTTTAAAATATGATGTGTAGGTGCACTCAAGGTAATGTAGGGTACAATATAATCGGCTCCGTTCGACTATGACCTTCTCCTTTTATTTATTAAAAAAACTGATTGTTTATGTCGAACGAAATAATTTGTATCAATTAAAAATTATATTAAGAAAAAATGTTTTAAGGGAACCCCACCCATTCTCGATTTTAATTTTTCAAGATTTTCAATGGGCTGGTAAATCAATACCAATGCTTGTTAAGGTTTGTAACTTTGCACATATATATTTGAAGATTTAAAAAAGAAGAAAAATAATTTACAAACAAATTTTGTTATTGTTTTGTTGTTGTTT